TACCTTGTCTGGTTGTGGCAAGCCTACCTCGTTGGGGTGGTGCTGGCCTACCTCATTGGGGTGGTGCAGGCCTACCTTGTCTGGGTGGTGTAGGCTTACCTCGTCTGGGTGGCGCAGGCCTGCCTTGTCTGGGTGGTGTAGTCCTACCTTGTCGGGGTGGTGCAGGTCTACCTCGTCTGGTTGTGGTAAGTCTCCCTTGTCGGGGTGACGCAGGCCTAACTCGTCTGGGTGGTGTAGGCCTACCTTGTCAGACTGGTTTTTGCCGTTTCTGCCGCTTTCCCTCTACCTTTTCCGGAGCTGGTCGACATGGCGTTTGATGACCTGCCTGTCTTCCAGCTCCACTTGGTACGACCTCGGGCCCGTTGTTCTGCTGATTACTCCCTTCAGCCACTTCGGAGGCTTGCGGAAGTTGAGCGCGTAAACCGGGTCTCCCTCGGTGAAGGTGCACGGCGGCCGGGTTGCGCTCACTGATTCTTGAGGGTTGTACTGGGGGTACAGTACAGCTACACTGGGGGTGTAGCCGGTCCAAAGGTGTCCTCAGCTTCCTCCCCATGAGTAATTCTATGTGTGGTGGCGTGCGGGGTGATATGCTGCGTGAAGAGGAATTTATTGATCCTTTCCTGCCAATCCCCAGTGCCCATCTTGATGAGAACTTCCTTGGTGAGCCTCACCATCCTCTCAGCTTGTCCATTTTCCGCTGGCCTGTAAGGGGCAATGAGGGCATGGTGGACGCGCAGCTTGGCCAGGAATGATTCCATCGGTTGTCCAACACTAGGACGTCCAGAATGCCGTGGGTGGCGAAGAGTCTGTGCAGGGCCCGGATCGTTGCCTCGGTGGTGATGGTGGGCATTTGGATGACTTCCAGCCATTTGGAGAATGCATCCACCACGATGAGGTGTTTGCCTGCCATCAACCCCGCAAAGTCGATGTGAATGCGGGACCAGGGGGCACTAGGCGTCTCCCATTCTGCGGGTTGGGCTTGTGCTGGTGCTGATCTGACCTCCTGGCATGGGGCGCATCTGGAGACTCATTGCTCAATGTCCTTGTCCAGGGCGGGCCATCAGACGTAGCTACTCGCCAGCGCCTTCATCTTCACGATGCCCGGGTGCCCATTGTGAAGGATCTCCAGGATCCTCTTCTGCAGCGGTCGCGGTATCACTACTCTGTTGCCCCAGAGTAGGCAGCCCTTCATCGTTGAGAGTTCTTGCGGCTTTCTTTCTTTTCTGTTGGCCAACCCCTCAGGACCCAGGACATGACTTGCCTGAGGGTCTTTTCCTTCTTCGTGTGGGCTGCCACGTCCGTGGAAGATACTGGGCACTGCAGGTCTCCGTCGATGTGGAAAAGGCCGACGGTGGGTGCGGGGTCTTCCACCGGTTCCTGCGTTGGGCACCTACTGAGGGCATCCATGTTACTGATGGTTTTGCCGGGTCTGTGTGTGAGAGTGTATGAGTACCCGGCGAGGAAAATGGCCCAGCGCGTCATCCTGGGCAACATGTATGTCAGTGTTTCTTTGTCGCCTGCGAAGAGTCCGAGGAGTGGCTTATGGTCAGTGATGATTTCGAATGCCCTCCCGTAGAGGTATTCATGGAAGCGCTTGATGCCAGCCACGATGGCCAAGGCTTCCTTGTCCAGCTGGCTGTAGCTGCGCTCAGCTGCCACCAGAGTCTTAGAGAAGAAGGCGATGGGGGCTTCCGTGTTGTTGGGCAGTCGGTGGCTGAGGACAGCCCCTACTCCGTATGGGGACGCATCACAGGTCAATACCAGCGGAAGCGTCTCGTGATACTGTATCAGCACGTTGTCCGAGGATAGGAGCCCCTTGGTGTTCTTGAACACGATTTCCTCGGCTCTACCCCATTTCCAAGGGGCCGCTTTTCCCAGAAAGCGATGGAGTGGCTCAGCAACTGTGGCTTTCTGTTTAAGGAAGATGCTATAGAAGTTTAGCAATCCTAAGAAAGCCTGAAGCTCTGGCTTGTTTTGGGGGGCCGGAGCTTCATGAATCGCCTTGACCTTAGATTTGGTGGGGTGTATGCCAGTGCTATCTATTAAATAGCCCAGGAACTCGACCTCCTGGACCCCAATGATGCACTTGTCTCTCCTCACACACAGATCCTTCTCTTGGAACTGCTTCAGGGTGAGCCTAAGCCGTTCCAAGAGTTGCGATCTGGAGGTGCTGGAGATTAGTACATCATTGAAGTACGGCACAACCCCTGGAATGCCTTGGAGAAGGCGCTCCATCATTGATTGAAAAATGCCAGGGGCTGCGCTGACTTCAAATTGGAGGCGATTGCATTTGAATGTGCCCCAGTGGGTGACAATAGTCTGAGTCTCCGCAGTTTTTTGGTCGACTGGCAGTTGCTGGTAAGCCTGGGCCAGGTCCAGATTTGCAAATATGGTCCCACTCCCGAGTGAATGCAATAGATGTTGCACCACTGGGACTGGGTATGCGCTCTGCTGTAATGCCCGGTTAATGGTGCATTTATAGTTGGCACAGATGCGCACAGATCCATCATGCTTCATTGGGGTCACAATGGGGGTCTCCCATGCAGCATGATTGATTGGTTCCAATATGCCTTGGGTGATCAATTTATCCAACTGCGCGTCTACCTTAGGCCGCAGTGCAAATGGAACCCTGCGAGGCTTAAGCTGAATTGGTAGTACAGTGGTTTAATGCACACTGTTATTAACACAGCTGCCTGCAATTTCTGCAGGTTCGAATCTTACCAGGCTCAAGGTTGACTCAGCCTTCCATCCTTTCTAAGGTAGGTTAAATGAGGACCCAGTTTGTGGGGCAATAAGCTGACTTTGTATAAATATACAAAAGTATGAAGGCTATTGCTTAACGCACTGTAAGCCTCCCTGAGTCTACGGAGAAGGACGGCATATAAATCAAATTAAAAAAAAAAATTGGGGTGATTAAGGTATCTAAATTGAAAGAGATGGGTTTCCCCAAGAATTTACCTAAGCTGCCATCGAAGACATCCTTGAACTCTCCGAGGAGCTTGTCGAGTTCGTCCTGCCGAATCTGATGGATTCCTCTGATTGAGAGCCCTAGAGGTTTGAACCACTCCACTCCAAGCAGAGTCGGGTGGCTGTCCTTAACGATGGTGATGGGTAAGTCGCCCTTGAAACTGTAGTAGCTGATACTCAGTGAAGCTCTCCCCAGGACCCCGATGGGGTTTCCGCCGAAATCGATGAGCCTTGCTTGCAGCGGCTGCAGTTGGCTCTTTGAGATTTGCAGTTTCAGCTTTTTGAGCTGCTACCAGTCCATAATGGAGTAGATGGAGCCTGAATCTACTTCCATGGCACATGGAGTCCCTTCCACGTGCACAGTCATGATGAACTTTGTGGCATTGTGGTCATCGGTGTGGGCAATGGTGGTTTGGTGGACCGCTCTGCTTCGCAAGTACCGGTCTCCCTCACGCCTTGGTTGATAGGACCATCTGGATGTCCTCTGGTGATCGCGGTTTTCTGGCTTGGCTTTCTCCCGGACTGATTCTGGAGCTCTGCAGGCATCAGTGATGTGGCCTTTTTGCTGGCAATGGCGGCAGGTCGCATCTCTCCACCGGCATCTGGCTCTCACATGGTCACCGTTGCAGCTGGCACAGCTCTCTTCTCAGCCGCCATTTTGTGTGGTCTCACGTCTTGGTAATCTGGAGATTTATGGACTGCCATTTCCTCGTCCAACTCGGATCCCGCGGTGGATTCCTTGGATGAGGTCTGTGGAGCTTTCTTGATTCTGTGGACTGTCTTGGCTCTCTGCATCACTGCCGCTGCCACCTCTGATGTTTCTGCGGCTGTGGCCTCTTCGATCACGTCTTTAAGCGAGACCTTTCTCCTGCTCAGCAACTTTCTCTGCAGGGAGATGTCCCGCATCCCAAAGATGATGCAATCTTGGATGGCATTGTCCACGTGATCGAACTCGCAGTTGGCAGCCAACTTCTGTAGTGCTGCCATGAAGTCCTTTATGGATTCGCCCTCCTCTTGGTTCCGTTGGCTGAAGGTGAATCTGTTCGCCACCGGTGTGCCAGTTAGTGCGTAGTGTTCCTGGAGAACGTCTTGGAGGTCGCTCCATGCCATGGTCTCGATGTCCTGGGGTGCCACGAGGTCGATGGCCATCTCCAGGACTGCCGATCCGCAATGTGCCAGGAACAAGGCTCGTTTGTGGTTGTCCTCTAGGTCTTCATAGCTGTTGCCGGTCAGGAATTGGCGGAACCTAATCATATAGGCTTTCCACTTCTCCTGATCGGGGTTGAATGGTGCCAGCGAGATTTGTGGCGCTGCCATGGTTCTCGTGCTATCAGCTCTAAGTGACTCCAGCTCAGTGACTTGCTCTGTTGAGTCGGGCTGGGTGGTGATCATGCCACGAGGTTCTTCGCTGAGGTTCTTGAAATCCTTCGTCGCCAGTGTTAGATTGGCGCAGGGAAAAGAATACGCAAGCAGCGAGAGGTCCGTTCATCACTTTATTTAGGAAAATCAGAACTGCCGGCTGTGCTGCTGGACTCGCCTTATAAAGAGAGCCGGCAGGCAAACTGGCCAATGACAGATCTTCAAATCTCCCGCCGGTGGACTAGCCAATCCGGCGGGGATGCCCATATACGGACATAACAGAATATTTCTACTGGATTGCCCTATCCATTTATTGAAATTGGGTTGAATTCTGAAGAGGCTAGGCTCCATCTTTATCTCCAGTGATTTATCTCCAGCTATTAAGGAAAGATAGCCATCATTTCTTATTTGTTGTAACATAATCTGTTATGTCATTATTTAGACATATCTCATTCTAATGTGAACAAAATACTGAGGAAATCACACACTAGAAGGGCAAATGGGTATTTCTTTCTAGTGCAACTGCTTCATCTCACAGAACATACATAAATAGAACCTCTCAGAAAAAAGCATTCAGAGAATGAGGACATGAAGATGGGATTTCCCACAGTATGATAGTTTACAAATAATTGTCCAATTTTATTTATGTTTTATAGGCTTGATAAATATATCTTTGGTATGCTTCCACCAATGTTGTAGAGACAGATAATAAAATCAACTAGACCAGTGTTTTCAAACTTTAAAATATGTGATCTCTCAGATTTCCCCAGGTGGCATGGTGAACCAGACTATAATTTCATTATTGTATTAACAGCCCACCCCAATTCAGAAAATAGCCCTCTCAAATAGTCCTCAACTTATACCTTTCACTTAGTGATCATTCAAAGTTACAGCGGCACTGAAAAAAGTGACTTATTGTCATTTTTCATACATTGCAGACCCCCGTGGTCATGTGATTAAAATTCAGATGCTTGGCAACTGGCATGTATTTATGATAGTTGCAATGTCCCAGGGTCATGTGATCACCTTTTGAGACTTCTGACAAGCAAAATCAATAGAAAAGCCAAATTAATTTAACAACTGTATTACTAACTTAACAACTGCAGTTGATCCACTTCATAACTGTGGCAAGGAATATTGTAAAAAAGGGGCAAAACTGACTTAACAATTGTTTTGCTTAGCAATGGAAATTTTGCATTTCATTTCATCGTATTGGATTTCAGGCTTCTAGTATGGAGGCTGATTATAGATATAAATTTGAAGGAAGAGAAAACAAAGAACAATTCTGGTCGCAGTTTCAAGAGGATGTGGTCTTAGCAACTATGGTCACAGTTGCAAGAAGATGTGGTCTCAGAACAAAGGAACAACAAGAAGTATTAAAGCTCAAAATATCCAAAACATCAGCAGGTATTATGTTCTGCAAGATTCGGGGAAAAGTCTCAAGACCACCTCCCCCGACCTAGAAAATCAGGCCCCATGATCTAGAAAACCTCATTAGCATCCTAAAATATACCCCTCCATTACGAGGTAATTCCATTCTTAAGGTGGGGAATTGAGACAGTAAGGAAATCACCTCAGACATTGTGGGATGGCATTAATTAATTGGGAGGCATCCCTTTACTGTTGTGCATTGCTAAAAGTGTTTTAGCCCAGAGTTTCATATATCTGGTGAACTTAATTGGGTGTTGTCTCAAGGCAACTGACCATGGTCCAATCACTTGTGTTTACAGATATGAAAAGTTACATATTGTTTTGGGAGAAATTTCATATTTGACATTTGAATATCCATTCAGTGAGAATTATTTAGTTCTGGTCACTTGTTCAATTCAATTAGTAAACATCTAGCATTTATTTAGATCATAGTATGTCAACATTCAGTTCTCTGTTCCAGAAAGGTCAGCAGACATTGTGGAAATATAAATAGCAGCCTGGCAAAAGATGGTCCCAAATAGACAACAGTAGTAGCATACCAGTCAGTGTCACTGGGAGCTGAACAGCATACAGATTTGATAAATAAAGAGCAGATGACCGGAAAGTGGCTAGAGAATGCTCTATTTTCACTTTCACATCAGAATTGAAGATCAATTTATTGCAGGACATAATAATGCAAAGGAGAAAAAATTATAATTCTTGTTTGGATATTCATACTTTTCAGAATGTATAAATAATCCTTCCTAGTTTAATTATATTAAATATAACTTTGCACTCCTTGGTCTTGACTGTTTCTAAAGTTACTTTCTCTCTCTTTATTTAGAGACGCTCTGAAATTGGAATTTTGAGTCATGGATTAAAAGGACCCGTCTTTCATAGTTGGAAGAGCTTAAATAAATGATTTATAATTATATAATGATGCATACCAAAAGAAGAAACAACAGCTAAGATGAATATTATGAGTGGAAGTCAAAATGCTCAGAGGAGAGTAAATTATCTAGCCTGAATTTATTTACTGATTTGTATTAAAAAAAATATTGCCATATTAAAGGTTTAGTTACAAAAATATTCTTTGAGCAATATTTTATTAGGGCAACATGTTTTAAAATAATGAGATTTTGAATTCTCAAAATGTATGAATGTATTATATTTCTTTAGAGATTAAAAATCCATGAAAAACATTTTAAAATTATAACTTTCAGAATAGGAAAATCTTTAAAAAGCTACAAACATAATTAATCTGTAATAATTAATTGCGATTAAATGTAGCTGTTTGACATTTTTGAGCAGAGATTAAACAGCTGTTTCTGATCTGCTGGATAGGCATGCTACACATCAAGAGTGTGAATGGTTTAATTTCTGATTGAAGGGAAGTATCAGGTTGATTGCCAACCTTTTGAACCCCTGAGCGCTTCAACATTTTTTTATCAAAGACTTGGTTGATGAAGGTGAGGGACAGTTATAAAGTTTGTAGGTAACACAAAACTGGGAAGGGTGGTTATAGTTGAAAAAAGATTTTTAAAAATGTTAGATAGGTCTAAGCACTGGGCAGAAAGGAATGCGATGAAATTTAACTGGGAAAAATATAAAGTTCTGCAGCCAGGTCGGAAAGCTAAAGCACAAATATAGGATGAGGGCAACCTGTCTTGACAATGGAACATGTGAATAGTTATGGGTGTCATTGTTGATCACATCTTTAACATGACCCAATAGGGCAGATGCTACTAAATGGATCAAAAACTTAAAAGAGTTATCAAAATGATGAAAAGTCTGGTGTATATTCTACCAAAAGGAATGTAAATGAACTATCCCCCGTTTTAACGAGTGAGAGAGAGAAGAATGAACTGCAGTTCAGATCAGTCCTAATCAGGATTCAGAATACTAGGTATGGACATTTATTTCTTCATTTCTTCATTAAATTTACAGGTCTCACTGTTGAAATGACTCTGGTTGGACATGCTGAATTGTTCCACTTTTGTACCATGTATTAAAATGCACAAATGATTCATCCTATCATTATAATCCTCAAAAATCAGTTAGGGAATATTGAAAAAAGTTAATGCACAAGCTTTTAAAACTCTTTGTAATATTTATTGTAAATGTAATGTATGTAACTATAACAATGTACATTTATGAAAATATTACATTTTAGAAATATAAATGAAAATAAAAGAAATCAGTTCTCAATCTGTTTTTATGCAAAACTACATTATTATTATTATTATTTATTGGTTAATCTTTAGTGAGATTCACAGCCTCCGAGGCTGGTCAATAGCTCAGCAGCTCGAGTCCCAACCAAGGACCTAGGAACTGTTAAGGTATCGTCGGAGGATGTAAGCTGTTCCGAGTAAGGTGGTTTTTTGTAGAGTCAAAATGTTCAAGTCCGGCAAATTTAGAATTTCTAAATAGCGGGGTAGCCCTTTGGGTATTGCTCCGAGGGCTCCAATTACAATCGGGACAACACACGATTTCTTTTTCCACAGTCGCTCAACTTCAATTTGCAAGTCCCGGTACTTTGTGATTTTTTCTTGCTGCTTTTCTTCAATTCGTGCATCACCAGGTATTGCAATGTCAATGAACCATACTTTTTTCTTTTCAACTATTGTTATGTCAGGTGTGTTATGGACCAAGTGCCTGTCAGTCTGAATCCTAAAGTCCCACAAGATCTTGAGTTTCTCATTCTCTAAAACTTTCTCAACCTGATGTTCCCAGTGGTTTTTGCTGTACTCAAATCCAAACTTCTGGCACAATTTCCAGCGAATGATTTTAGCAACACGGTCATGGCGTTGTAGGTAGTCAGTTTGTGAAATTTTGCTGCACCCACTGATCAGGTGGTCGACTGTCTCATCTTTCTCATTGCAGAGGCGGCATTTGCTGTTGGTGGTAACATGTTGAATTTTTGCCTTCACACAGTTTGTGGCTAGGGCTTGTTCTTGAGCTGTCAAAATAAAGCTTTCAGTTTCTTTTTTCAGTACTCCTGATCTTAACCAGTTCCAAGTTAGTTTCTGGTCAGCTTTGCCTTCAATACTTTTCAAGTATTGGCCATGCAGAGCTTTGTGTTTCCAATTTTCAGCTCGCTGCTCAATTACTTCTTTCTTATATTCTGCTTTTGTTTTAGTTGTCTTTAAAAGGCCTCCTTTATTTACTTCCTTAATCATTGGTTCTTCACTTTTCTGGATGTAATCATTCAAGCTGCATTTTTCTTCTTCCACAGTCTGCTTTACTTGTAGGAGTCCTCGACCACCCTCTGCTCTTGGTAAATATAATCGGTCAACATCACTTTTAGGGTGCAAGGCATGATTCATTGTCATAAGCTTCCTTGTTTTTCTGTCCAAATTGTCTAACTCCATCTGGGTCCAGTCAATTATTCCTGCAGAGTATCTAATCACAGGTATAGCCCAGGTATTTATGGCTTTTATGATGTTTCCTCCACTCAATTTGGACATTAATATCTTACAAATTCGCCGAATGTACTTGGCTGAAGTTAATTCCTTGACTTTATTATGCATTAAGTCAGAGGCTTCTAAAATCCCCAAGTACTTGTAGCCTTCTTCTGATTTTACTGCCTTTATCATTTCTTCATTCTCTAGTTCTATTCCATCCTCTTTTATGATCTTGCCTGCTTTGGTTGCTATTGTTGCACATTTGTCAATTCCAAACTGCATACCAATGTCTTGGCTGAATTCTTTTGTGTTTTCAATTAATAAATTCAGTTCAGCTTTTGTTTTACCAAACAGCTTCAAATCATCCATGTACATCAAGTGCGAGATTTTCAGTCCTTTCTTTGCAAGTTCGCATCCACAGTTCATCTTCTTCAAAATGATTGTCAGTGGTAGCATTGAGAGTATAAAAAGTAGGGGTGAAAGGGAATCGCCCTGGAAAATGCCTCGTTTAATTTCAACTTCACCCAGTTCTTCTTCATTAGCCATAAGTTTTGTTTTCCAGAGGTTCATTGAAGATTCCATGAATTTTTGTATGTTGCTGCTGATGCCTAATATTTCCAGGCATTTCTTGATCCAGCTATGGGGAACTGAATCAAATGCTTTCTTATAGTCTATCCAAGCCATGAACAGGTTGGTTCGTCTTTTCTTTGAGTTCTTTAGGATTAGCTTGTCGATCAGCAATTGATCTTTTGTTCCTCTTGAGTTTTTGCAGCATCCTTTCTGTTCTACAGGAAGCAAGTTATTTCTTTCCAGGTATCCATAGATTTGGTTTGCAATGATACCAGTAAGAAGCTTGTATGTTGTTGGCAAGCAGGTGATTGGCCTATAGTTTCCAGGGTCCTTTCTTTTTTCTTTATCTTTTTGGATCAAAAATGTCCTTCCAGTTGTCATCCATCCATCATTTTCAGGTGTTTTTAGGATCTGGTTCATCTGGGTTGCCAATCTTTTGTGCAGACTTGTAAGTGCCTTTAACCAGAAGCCATGCAGCTCATCCGGTCCAGGTGCACTCCAGTTCTTCACTTTTCTTGACTGTCTTTGCACCATTGCTTTTGTTATTTTCACGTCTTCCATTTTATGCACTTTAATAGAGTCCTCAACCTGTTTGATCCATTTTGCATTTCTGTTGTGCTTCTTGTTGTTTTCCCACAAATTCTTCCAGAATTTCAGAGCTTTCTCTTTATCAGGCTTTTCATTTGTTGTTACTCCGTTTCCATTTTCTAAATTCTTATAAAACTGGTGCTGATTTGCTCTGAACTGTGAGTTTTCCTTGAACTGAGTTACTCGGTTTTCATACCTTTTAATCTTTTCAGCGATGGCAGCAACCCTTTGCTTCAGCTCTTCAATTACTACTGCAATCTCCTTATTCCTTAGATCGTATCTTGCTTCCAGGCTGCTTTTGACCTGCTTGTTCTTTAGCTGACCTTGCCTTAGGTTCTTCAAGTTGCTCAAATCTCCACGTACTTTTTTGATCTTCAATTCTAACCGAATTTTCCACTTAGGCTTCCCTTTCTTGCCTCTTTGGTTCTTTTGTATTTTCAACCCCAGTTCTTTGGTGGTTATGACAGCTGCTGCATACATCAGTTGGTTAGTTTCGGCTAATGTAGTGGTTCGAATAGTTTGCACAGCCTCATTGACCTTTTTTAGTACATTTCTCAATTCTTTCCGGTTGACTTGGTTCAGCTTTGGCAAACGTGTTCTTTCATCATCTTCCATTTGGTGCTTTATTTTTCCAGCTAATTGAGCACTATCTGTTGGTGTTTGTTCTTTAGTGCTTCCTTGTTCTTTATCTTCCATTTATTATTATTATTATTATTATTATTATTTATTATTATTATTATTATTATTATTATTATTATTATTATTATTATTATATATTATATATTATATTATATCTTACTTGAGAACTCAAGTAAGTCCATAGTGGGAGATACAGATGTTTTTTCTTAGTAAACTTAACAATTCTTTTTAAAGAAGTAATTGTATACTGCCAATTGTTAGTAGTTGTGATGTAGAGGATAATTGTTTTTTGTTTTTTTTTGTAGAAATCTAGTTCTGTATTCATAATTCTAGAAGTAAATATAATATTATTAACCTGTCAACCTTGATAGAAAAAAATAATATCTGTCAAAATTAAGACTATTAACAATTTGATAAAATTGTTTCAGGTAGTGATTGCATAACAATGTTTTGTCCTTCATGGGTTTTGATTAATTTTAAGTTATTTACTTTAAATTTTGACTTAATTACTAAGCAGATACTGTGGTTATAATTCCCAAAATGAAAGAATGGTTTTTGTAGGAAATGTACCAGTTAGTGATTCCTTTCAGATTTCTATCAGTTTATATGTATTTATATGTACTTAATACAGGTGAAGCTTTACACAGAAGATATGACCTGTTACTTATTTTAAATGATGCCTTGGTACCATGGAAAAACAATTTTGTATTCTGATATGATCATTTTTCAAGGTCTTATTATGAAGCCAAGTAATCCTTCTATTTATTTCCTGTTTCCAAAGCTGGAAGGAGAATTCCATCTCTCTACTTATCTTCTCAACAAGCTGTGTATTCAGACTAACACGTCGATGGAGAGGTCACCTGTTAAACTGAAAATGGATTTTTTAAAAATACTAATTTATAATAATTTTGGTCGTCATGTACATTGATACATCCAAACTAGACTGTGTTGTTTCTCCGTGTCATATAATATATCTGGGTATATGCATATTTATTATTTATTTGTTTGTTTGTTTATTTTTATTTTTATCATGTTTATATAATGTATATTGGAGGTGGTGGTTCTTTGAGAGCTATATGCAACGAAATTTCATTTTCATATATCCCAATCAGTGTATATTTAAAGTGACAATAAATTTGTTCTATTTTAAGTCTAAATCAGGGGTGTCAAACTCAATTTCATTGAGGGCTGCATCAGGATTTTGTTTGACCTTGGGGGGTCAGGGGCGCCTGTGGTGGCCTGAGCGTTCTGCCAGCAAAAACAGGCTCCTAAGTTCCATTTTTGCCTGCGACAGCTTCCTGCAACCCTCTGATCACCAAAACGGAGCTTAGGTGGCCCACCCTCCCGAGCTCCATTTTCGAGTTCTGTTCTAGCTGGCTATAGCACTGCGGGCTGGTCCTTTGCTGTTTTCCAGGGTGGCCCTGCAAGCCAGATCTAAACAGCCTACGGGCCGCATCCGGCCCGCGCGCCTTGACTTTGATACCTGTGGTCTAAGTCATTTTGCTAATACAATAGTCTACCCAATTAGCTGACTTCACATGTCATATGTATTATTTAACCATGGTTTATTGACAGAGCCAATTTGATGTAATAGTTAAGGCATCAGGCTAGAAGCAGGGAGATCATGACTTCGAGTTGGCCTTGGGTACAAACGGAGCTTAGTAATCTTGGGCCAGTCATTTTCTTTCAGTCCTAGAAAGGAGACAATGGCAAACCATTCTGAAAAATCTTGTCAAGAGAATTGCAGAAATTGTCCAGGCAGTCTCCAAGTATTTCCAAGAATGAAAGGAAAAAAACATTGATTAAATAAAAATTATGTTTACTTGTACAACATATAAGCTATAAGGCACGAGCAATAAGCTATAATGTCTGGATTTAGGTGTATGCTAAGTCAAATCAAAGAAACCTCATGGTGTGGCATGATGTAAGAACTTAGCCCTAAACTCATGTGTCAGACTACATTATAGATGTATTTATGTTACATTCCAACACAAAAGTAGAGTAATAGCAATTTAGCAAGCTAGACAAGGCTTAGTAAAAAGGCCTGAGTAATTTTCTATAAATTTAGGATACTTATAAACATAATATGTTATGTGAGTCTAACAAAACCGAAGAAGTGAACCAAGCCAGTGCGTACTGTGACTTAGCATTACACATGAATGCAGACACTTATGATTTATTTACCAAACAGTGGGTTAATGTAATATGTGAGCCTGGTCAATTTCCTTAGGGAGGGGAAATAGTGAAGGATATTGTATTAGTTAAAAATTAGGGGACAACCACAGTGATGATCCAGCAATATATAAGACAAGGCTAGTTAGTATAAAAGATGCATGTGAATTGTAAGTATTACTGAATTGAATCACAATGCGGAGGTATAACAATAAAGAAATGTACTTGGAAAAATCACATAGTGTCATTCTTGGTTTCTTGCCCCCCCACCTCAAAATTATGACCACTGCACTATACCTGCTGTGATATGATTTGCAATTTATGCACTTGGCATTTGAGCTCATATTTATGACCTATTGCAGTGTCCTGCAGTTATGTGATTATGATTTGCGAACTTCCCAGCTGGTTTCTAACAAGAAATCTTAATTAGGAAAGTCAGATTTGCTTAACAACTACATGATTCACTTAACATCCACATGATTCACTTAACAATAATAATAAAATCAAGTCTGGAAAAATTGCATCACTTAGTGACCGAAACTCAGATTCTAACTGTGGTTATAATTTGAGGACTGCTTGTATAACAAGCCTACTTAGAAAGAGCTACAATGATAAAATAAAAATCCTTGCATATCCTTATTGTATATAAAGTACCATATAATTAATTTTATATTAAATATAGAACAGCATACAAAAAAATCAGTTACCATTCTAGAGGAAGAGTACAGTCCAAACTGTATAGTACAGTATAAGTATTTGGAAATCCATTTCAGATAGTTTGACAAAACTTTCTAGGTCGAACAATTCTAATCCTGTACTTTATTTTAATGAAATTGGCAGCAATGAATATTATGTTTCTGTTATATGCAGATCTTCTCTAAGATGATCTATCCCCACCAAGGCCTTTTATATATTCCAATGGTGGACACATTGCCACTGTAATTGAGTCTTTCCATGTTGCTGCTAGTGTCCTTTTTGTCCACCTTTCCCAGTTTTACAACATTATGGTCTTCCCATGTGTCCAAAATATGGGGAGAATTCTGGATTGATTTGTTCTATGATTCATTTTATTCTTGTCTATCCATAGTATTGTCAAGAGTCTTCTCCAACAACAATTTTTATATAAATTGTACACACACACACACACCCAAACACACACACACAAATGTATGTATGTTTGTACTGATATATACTGTGTGTATCTCAATGTACTAGCTACCTAATTAGGTAATACATACCCAATTCCCCTGCTTTCTTCCCCCCCCCCCCACAACAATTCTGTGAGGGGATGGTTGGGTTAAGGGAGAATGATTGGCTGAAAGTCACCTAGCCAACTTTCATGCCTAAGAGGGATGGTGGTGTGTAGAACTCACAATCTTCTAATATCTTGGCTGGGTACCTTAACCATTACACCAAACTGTCTCTTTCTTCTCTTTGAAATCTTGCCTAAATGCTCTTAACTTTTTTTTTATCTTACTTTTGCTAAGACAATAGGGCAAGCTGCATGGGTTGGTTTTTCATAGTGAATGCTTGTAAACATTTTGTGGAGAGTGGGAGAAAAGAAGTGAAGTAGATGAACTCAAGAATGACTTCACCTGACAGCCTCCAAAACAACTGAAAACTACCAATTATTTAGAATGCAAGTATAACCTATTAGTAAATAAATAATAATAATAGTAATAGATTTTTTTTTGCATGAAGTGACATTGGAATAAGATTTGAAAACAAAGACTGAGGTCTGTTCTTTGATCTCAAAAGATTACAAAATAATTTTACAATATAGTCCTCTCCCAAGGCTGCTGCTATCCCTCCAGCAACTTTTGCTTTCCTTGGAAGGGACAAGAATCTCAGAAAGAGAGTGCCTTGGGCTTCTTATCTAGGCAATTTAACAATACCGATAGTAATCTCTATTTTTGACCACTTGCCAACTATAAACGACAATATGGATTCTTTAAAAAGTCTCTTGAGGCTTTTACACAACTAACTGCACTTATAGAAGCACAAACTAATGTTTAGAGAGCAACCTGCATTTTAAACACCAGCTCAAACACCATAGAAGAAAGAACTCCCTATTACAATGCAATGAAAAGAGAAGGAGATTAACTATAACTGGATTCTTCCAACAAACCAGATTGTCCTACATATTTACTGTAATAGAGATAATAAAGGTTTCTTTGTCTAATAAAGAGCTATTGCTTTGTCTTTAAGCCAAGTTTTCTATTGTCAACTCCACCTGATACACTTACAGGCAGTCAAATGGCTACCCAGTAAAAGAGGATGTAAAGAGTTTTGCTGACATTCAAATACGGTCAATCTGTGGCATGCTGCTCAAAACGAGGCCTTATCTGGCTACATTTCAAATATTTCAATTATATGTGGGTGATAAAATATATTCACTTTTCACTCCTCCATACAAACCAAAGGTCTCTGTAAGCACTGAGAATAATAGCCTGCCAACTATAAACAACTTCGAGAATTTAGCCTTGACCAAGAGCAATTCAAATAAACTCCTAGAGATAATTAATAACAAAGATTACAGATAAAGCTCTAGAAGTACAGATGATTCATTCTCTTGGGGCACTGCCAAATCATTATCCAGATAAAATATTGAGAAAATTAAGGAAGCAACAGCAGTTATTGTTAACAACATGTATAGCAGCAGAACCTCTGATTTACTTAATGGCAGTTTCTCCTAATATACTTCTCTGGTTGTATTTTGACCTGAGGATTCTCAACAGTAAATTAAACAGAAGAAAGATGATATCTAGCTCTAATAGATGAATTACAGAAGACTATTTTTGATATTTTGGATGAATCAACCACCATGAATAGGTCAGCAACTTCTTTGTTCTGGCCAAATATTAGGGCTTCTGTATCCCTAAGTACCCAGAGCCTAAGATGGATGATCCAAGTCTGTGGAATGAATTGTCAGGTGAAAACTTATATGGATGTTAACAACACAATATTAAACAAAAGGAGGTCAATTTAGTGATATGTTGCATAACCCTGGAAAGCTCCCAAAACCTGTAGTGACATCAAGAAGAATCCAAGTGGCTGATCAGGGTGTGTACCTGAATACCTCAAGTTCTTCTTACCTTTCAGAGGTGTCAAACTGGCGGCCCGCAGGCTGGATGCGTCACGCCCAGGCCACGCCCACACCAGCTCTACGAATTGGGAAAAACGTCACGAAACATCACATAACGACAATGTGACACCATGAGTTTGACACCTGTGCCTTACATAAACGAATGACTCAATAAGGTACCTTAGAAGCCATACCTCTTGTTCCACTCCTTCTGGTCTACAGGTTTGCTAAACAATACAACTATTCAAATATTAACTTGGAATCTAGGAAGTAACTAATTATGTCTTATAGGATTTCTGTCCAATTTTATTCTGAATGCAATACAAAAGACCAACAGCTGAAGATGGACAGAGTCAAGGGTGGGCTGCTGGGGGTTCGCAGGGGTTTGGGACAACCTCTAGCTAAGATTCTGTGCAGTTCGGAAAACCCCCAAATCCCACTCCTGGCTGGCCCCACCCACCCCACCCCTCCCAGGAGTCCCCACGCAGCCCATTGTGGATGCAGGTAAGTGCAGGGCGTGCGCAGAGGCTAGGGAAGGGCAATAAATGGCGCTATCGGAGCCTGGGGAGGCCGTTTTCACCCTCCTGGAGGCTCAAGAAAAGTCTCCGGAGCCCGGAGAGGGCAAAAACACCCCCCCATGGTTCAGGAGGCCGACTAGGCCATGCCCACCCAGCAACTGGGCTAGAATTTTTGAAGCCCACCCCTGGACATAATTAAAAGCTTGGATTTAAGTGCTGGCATGGCAATTAGAAGAGAAAGTTTAGGCGAAAGAAGATTGACCCTGTTGATCAGTGAAGTTACCCAGAGAGTACAAAATTGATGCTGGAGGTTTACAGACCTCTTCAAACATCTCACAAAATAACAGAATTGGAAGGGACTTTGGAGGTCTTCTAGTCCAACCCCATGCTCAAAAAGAAAACCCAATACCATCTAATTAATCTTCTAATATATGGATAAACACAGAACAAATCTTGATAATCACAAAAATTCAATGTGATGCTGAGTCCATTTACATAAGATCATATAAATAACAGCAATATTATTGAAGAATTCCATTCCATACACTCTTCATGGTCATTTAGGGATCATAAAAGAAAGGCTGCTGGTACACAGTTGTTAAACCAGGTATGCAAAGTGTAATCTGCAAATTGTAGGGGGCCATAAAGTGTCCCTTTTTCTTTCTGTTTAAGACAAAATGTTCTACAATTCTAATTTATACTAAGGATATTCCCCGGCTTATCTCAAAGCACAGACTGCTGAAAAGGAAAACAAAAAGCAAAACAAGAATATTGAAGAGAACTGCAACTGTAAAATTTTAAAAGCATGTAAATCAGACTTCCTTGACCTAATATTGTTCAAATGTGCTGGATTACAGTTTACACACCTCCTGAGTAGTACTTTTAATAGCCATATTGAATGGAATTAGTCCATTGGTCAATGATTTTCTAACAGCAATTTAACTCCACCTGAAGAATTAGAAGTTATCAGTTCCTGGACTTTCGGTGGTGACATCAGCGTGTTTGGAGCTAGAGAACGGGGCTCCGTTCTTGAAACTCCAGGATTCCCATCTAGGAAGCCGTTCTCTCTATTGAGAGATCAACAGACTAAGGAGGAATCTCCAAGGACCTCGGGGGGAAGGCAACCATCCTGAAGGTTCAGGGGAAACCCCCTAATTCGGGAGGGGAAAAAAACAGCCATTTTGGCTGGCCTGAAGATCTACCCAAACGCTATGGACAATACCAAAATGAAAACATACAAAGACTTGTTAAACAACCAGGGAGAACTAAGAACGAGATAAGAATTGATGGACATGGGTACAGACATCGACTGGTGGCCATACTTGCAAATAAAATCGAGGTACAAAAAAGATTTGACACAATTCGGATTCCAAAGAGGCCAATACGAATTAGATAAAATTCTACAAGGACCACAAGATAAATTGATTAAAAAAGTTTATAATTTTTTACGAGGATACAAATTAGAAGAAGAAGTGGTTAAAGAAAATATGATAATTTGGGCAAAGAATTTCGGCTACAACATTGAATTAAACAATTGGGAAAAATTATGGACAATAAATTATAAATTAACAATGTCTGTACCCTATAAAGAAAATTTATACAAAATGTTTTATAGGTGGCACCTCCCACCTGCTAGATTGGCAAGAATGTTCCCCAACACTCCCTTAACATGCTGGAAATGTAAACACCACAAAGGGACGTATTGTCACGTGTGGTGGACCTGCCCAATGGCAAAACAATATTGGCTAATAATCAGAAAACAAATAGAAGAAATAACCCAGCAAAGAATAGAGATGAGGCCAGAAACCTTTCTATTAGGTATAATAAATGGACAGTATGAAAAGGAAATCAAATACTTAATTATTCACATAACAACAGCAGCGCGAATAGTTTTTGCACAACAATGGAAAAGCAGCGACATACCAATTGAAGGAAAAGTAATCAATAAAATCATGGAATGTGCAGAAATGGACAGACTCACAAAGGAACTACAAAATAGAGAAGAACACGATTACTATTTAGTATGGGAAAAGTGGTTGGAAGGCAGAGAAAGGAAAAATAGGACAAATCCAAAATAGACATAAGAGATAGATTATTAAATATTAAAGAATCAAAAGTACAAATATGAACATACAGTACAGTTATGATAAATTTGATATATATTTGAATTTCTGTTTATATGTTTACATTTTGTATGTTTTGTCGTGATTTGTTTTGTTTAGTTTGTATTTTCAAATAAAAAAATTTATATATAAAAAAAGAAGTTATCAGTTCCTGTCTCAAAAACAGTATCTTTCGAGGATTAAAACTCATTTCTAATACGTCTAATTATTGTTTTAGTTAGTAAAGTTTTACACATAGTTAAGAATCTGGAACAGTTATATCTTGGAATATTTCCCATTAAACCCAAAGTAGCATTTATTTCAAAGAGCACACTGCACTGTTTCAAATATTTCGGTATACAATTGATATTTTTGTTTTCAAGAAGACAAAGCGACTTTGGAATTAAAGCTATAGTAATTAATGGAATGTAGTACAGTAATAGGGAACCAGGCCAATAATTGCAAAACTTGAGGCCACGGAGAGGTGACGATGAGTTTCGCCCCAGCATGCCCTGATTCGCAGCGGCAGGACGAGGGGAATGAAACTTTCACCTCTTTTAACCTCCGAACCCAATTGTAGTCTTCTATTGTCAATCAGACGCTGACAGAACAAATAAAATCCCTCCTCTCGAGCATTATTTCCAACGACGCGTCACAATTCATCTCTCTTCATGAAGCGGCGGGATCTACCCACTTTAGGAAACCAAACAAAAAAAGAGAAAGAAAAAGAAAAAGGCGGGCCTCCCTGGAGTTCCCACCTCTCTAACGAATTTCTATTAGTGTCGTAACTCGTTGCGGTATTACTATTGGCTCTCTTTGATGGCCACTCAAATAGCGGCTTTGCTGGGCGGGGCAGGCATTTGTCGTGCCCCGAGTCTCTCCGTCCATCAGCTCTTCTGTCTTCCTCACACTTTTATCGGGAGCTCTAGAGCGAGTCACGCCGAGGTCGGCAACGCCAAAGGGAGAAGCAGCGGGCCTGGAGGGGCGCCGTCTTGACCCAGAGTGAGACAGAGGAACAGGCGTGCGCTCTGAAGGAACTTTTTTTTTTTCCTGAGAAAAGGGTAAAAAAAAAAAAAGGGGAACCTCTTTCTTTGTGTGAACGCTCGTGTGTGTGTACGTGTGTGTGTTGGGATTTGGGATGTTGGCTGGAACAGGCTCTGGAATAGCGGTTCTGTCAGCGGCGGGAGCGGGGATGGAACAGCGGGTTTCTTTTCTCCTCACGGCGAGGTCGCAGCTTTGAACCCTCGTCCCCACCCGGGGAATTGGCTCTTTTCGCCGCGGCCCCTCTCCTTCCCTGCCTTTGTGTTTCCTTCCCCCACTGAGGAGAGAGGCGGGAGGCGGCGAGGAGCCAAGAAGCGGGGTTCAGGGCGTGCCGGTTACTGTCCTCCGGTCCCGATCTGGAGAGGCGACAAGTTATGGTGACGGCCAGCGAGGTGGCCAAGCGAGTGACTGGCGTGGCTTGAGCCCCACGCGCCGAAGTGGGACTCGATGGTGGGCTTGTGAGGGAAGGCGGCGAGGAAAGAGAGTTGCTGCCGGCGGAGGAGGAAAAGGGTCCTGGTGCGAGGCTCGACTCTAGGCTCGTCCACGTCTAAAGGGTCAGGTCGGGATACTTGAAGCTTTTTAGAGCCTCCCGCTCAGGCCTCAGAATCTGAGACGGTCCCATTCCGCTTGAGTCGCTGGTGAGGGAACTCCGGGAATTTAAGTTGGGCCAAGTTCTGAGCCAAACGGGCGGCGTCGAGAGGTGTCAGGTCACCGTGCAAGCCTATGGTCGCTGCTGCTTTTACCTTTGCTCTGCGAGTTGCTCTCCGGCTTAGCCAATTGCAGCAAGAATTAAAAGGGTCAGAGGGAAGGAGAGTATTCTCTGGCCCTTCATTATGGAGCATTTTAAAACTTCCACCATAACTCAAACAACACACCTCCCCTTGCTAATTTTGAAGAGTGGGTCGACAAAGCGACCAAAGGAACGTGAAACCAAACAGTTTTCTAGATTTCATATTATATACGTGGGCATAATGCAATGCATGATTTGCAGTCCATCTCTGGGCACTTAACCCTAGTTACTGTTTTTATTTTAGACATTGCTCTATCCTTTGCTATATATAAACGATTAAGGAGCAGTCTTAACATTTGTATAATTTTTATATGGGACCTACATTGAACACTCACAGAAATCACAGACTAAATGCATGATCCATCAGCCTGCAATGAGCTATCTCAAATGAGTCAAAGATTTTTGTGCAAGTGGATTGGATATATAGATAGTCCTTAACTTACGACCACAATCGAGCCCAAGATTTCTGTTAAGTGAGACATTTGTTAAAGGAGTTTTGTCCCATTTTATGACCTTTGTTGCCACAGATGTTAAGTGAATCATTGCAGTTGATGATTAAGCACCATAGTTGTTAAGTTAATCCGTCTTCCCCATTGATTTTGCTTGTGAAAGGTTGCAAAAGGTGATCACATGACCTTGGAACACAGTAATGGTCATAAGTATGAACCAATTGCCAAGCATCTGAATTTTGATCACTTGCTCATAAGGATGCGACAAAGATTGTAAGTGTGAAAAATGGTTATATGTCACTTTTTTTAGTGCTACTGTACCTTTGAACAGCCACTAAATGAACTGTTGTAAATTGAGGAATACCTGTACCAAATCTCATTAACCGACATGATTTTTTCATGGGATCCTTATAGACCAATGAGGCTAATTATACATCACATCACTATTGATGTGTTGCACTGTCATTTTCCAGACCAGTCAACCATTCTAGGATCATTCCCTTGAGGTCTTCCTTTCCAATATTAAGCAGATCTGTATGTATCTACTTCTCTCCTGAGCCAAAGTTAAAGAGGTGTTACCTCCTGCTGAAAGATATAAACAGCCTATAGAGTTTTAAACATCAAAACACTAAATGGAAATAGACTATGTTAGCTTTGGAGATACAATTTTATATTTAAGATAAGTTCCATCTTTTTAAAAATAATTATTTTAAAAGAGTAACTATTCTGTCATCATGCAAGACCTAATGAATAAGAATAGGAGCACTTCTAACTATTATTGTGTTGACAGATGATTGCATTGGAAGCAGCTAAGGGAAAACTGGGAAGAATGAACACAACAGTGAGATGGTATGGGAGAAAAATTGATCTCTGTGTTATGTAACTATATGTTGCTGATAACCTTGAGTTACGCCCTTGCTTGTTTGCTACAGCCTTTTCTCTGGTCCTTTTTCCTATTGCTCTGATATTGGTTCCATGTGGAAATATGAAATTTTGAGGCGTAGTTACTCTTGATTTTACATGATGTTAGAAGAAAGCCATATAAAACTAAATCACGAATCACATCCATCTGCACAAAACTATCATGATTTTGGCATGATGCTGCTAAAATTGGTAGGTCTGTGATTGTAATGATTTATTTCTTCCAGATCGATACGTTTTGTGATTTAATGTTGGTTCCACTTGGGATCTAAGGAAAAATCATCTGACACCATAAATTCTGTAGAACCAAATTTTTGAGCAAGCAATACCAAAAAATGGTCCAATTTGTAATTGTGTTGACTCATTGAATGCAGATAGGAGTGAGAGTTATTTCATATGCAACCTATGTAAAATTTGTGTAGAGACTTGCTTTATGTTCCAATCTGGATCAATAATTGAGACCAGAGGTTTAGTCTTCTAAGCTTTCAGAGTTGTGCTGGAGCCCATCTTCAGGGAAATTCTCTCTAATAGAACATTAGATTTCATTAGTCTGAACACTTGGAAGACTAAACTTCTCGTCCAAGTGACTGACCCAGATTGGATCCTGCAACATTATCCTGTGATGTGTAGAAATGCGCTCCTGCTTTAGATCACAATTTTATACCATGATGATCTGTAGAAATAGGTGGTTGGTGAATTAATTATTTTCTTAATTATTTTCTCATATGTATGGATCCTATGAAAGAGTTATGTAAAAACTGGATTTTAGCCAGATCTTGGGACTAGTTCTAGACCAGTGGTTCTCAACCTTCCTAATGCTGCGACCCTTTAATACAGTTCCTCATGTTGTGGTGACCCCCAACCAGGGGTGGGTACTAAATTTTTTTACTACCGGTTCTGTGAGCGTGGCTTATTTTGTGAGCGTGGCTTGGAGGTCATGTGACTGGGTAGGCGTGGCTAGCTGGTCATGTGACCGGGTGGCCATGGCTATATGTATAGGGACTACTCAGAGGGCTGAAAAAAGTCATTTCTGACAGGTCCTCGCACTTTTGACCAGTCTTCGCACTTATGACTGGTCATTATTTATGCCCATTGTAGCATTCTTAACAACCGTGTCACTCATTTCACAACTGCTTCTCTTCACCATGGTGACAAGATAGGGCAAAAACGTAAAATGTGAGGACAGTCGTAAGTTCAAGGATTGTCAAAAGTGCGAGGACCACTCAAAAATAACTTTTTCAGCCTTCTGAGCAGTCCATATGCACAAAAGGACTACCCAGAGGGCTGAAAAAAGTGATTTCTGACAGGTCCTCGCACTTTTGACCGGTCTTCGCACTTATGAGTGGTCATCATTTATGTCCATTGTAGCATTCTTAACAACCATGTCACTCATTTCACAACTGCTTCTCTTCACCATGGTGACAAGATAGGGCAAAAACATAAAATGTGAGGACAGTCGTAAGTTCGAGGACTGGTCAAAAGTGTGAGGACCAGTCAGAAATAACTTTTTCAGCCCTCTGAGTAGTCCATATGCATAAAAGGATACAGCAATAGAGAGAGAGATGAAGGAAGGGAAGGGAAATTAGAGTAGGAGTAAGGGTAAGAGAGGGAGGAAGAGAGGAAGAGAAGGAGAAAGGAAGAGGAAGTAGGGAGGAGAAGAAGAGGGGGAGGAAGAGAAAGTAAGAAGGAAAAAAAAGAGAGAGGTGGTAGGTTTGAGGAGAAAGATTGTTGTACAATAAAAAAGATGAAAGGGAAGAAAGCCAACCCCAAACAAATATAAAGATATTAAGATAAAAAATGAATCGTTAAACTTTAAAGAATAAAAGAGAATAAATATGAATAAATAACAATAATTAGAAACACACATACAAACATACAATGTATTTTTTTTGAACAGAGTATTTGGCCGGTTCACAAATTTAAACTGTGTTTAGTCATTTCAATTAAATTTACAATTTCTATATGTCCTTTTTGCCATATTTATTCCTCATCTATTTTTGTAAAAAACCAATATTACCCTTCATCCTCATCTCTAATCTTAATCAAATTCAATTTTTCCCTTCTGTTCTATATTATACCCCTTCCCATTGTCATCTATTTTTATATCCATCCTCACATTGGTTAATTATGTAATATTACAGTTGTTTAATATAAATTCAACATTTTAATATAAATCAATTAGTTATATAACTACCTTTTTTGCATATTAATCAATATGAACATGAATATTCCAATTATTTCCATGCAATCTAATTTCTTACAAATCAGTTAATTATATTTACCAATAATAATAAACCAAATAATTTCCCCCATATATTCCTCCAAACCACAACTTAACCATTTCTGCTTCCAACATAATATACAATTAATAGTATCTCAATTACTACAATTCCCTAGTTAAACAGAGCTTTTTTTCTTTTGTGTTTTAAAATCTTGAACTCTCCACTTTTCCCCTAAATTTCCCATTGTTTGCACCTACCTTTTTTGGTGAGGAAAAAGAAAAGAAATCTACCTGCCTAATTTTCCAACGTTGTAGCAACAGCAAAGCCAACAGCCTGCTTTACTTTCAGTTTCGTTTTTCAGCATCGCTAGGGGGAAAAAAAGTTGCTCCAGCACTCTTTGCAAACAAGCAGCAGAGCCCTGAGCAAAACAGCTGAGAGCAAATCAGCTGAAAGTCGGGAGCCGATCTAATCAAGGGCTAATTAGCCTATGCTGAAGCTCCGTGGGCCAATAAAATTACAAAAAAACACCGAACCATTTGTTAAATTGCTGGCTCGCCCGCCCCTCGCCCACCACTATTTATTGGCCCTTTGAAGCCCCGCGGCAAGAATTTAAACAGTTTTTTTTCCTCTAGCCATCA